CATTATATCACTGAGAACAGTTGCAAAAGAAGAATCCAAAGGAAATAAAGTGCCATGTAAATTAGTAACATCAGATAGATATCTATACCAATTTAAAAGAAGCTCAAAATAGGACAATTTTTTAAAAACACAGAAGTGAAATGAGCATCAATCGCAAAGTATTAAAAGCATTGATTTCTTTCACATATGTTATGACAAAGAGAACAAAAGAAACTCTCATCTACTAAAAAATTCTGTTGAAGCATATCTCATCATTAAAACAACAACTTTCCACAAAAAAACACAGGGAAGTACACTAGTATCACTCACTTTCTTTTCTTACGTTAACTCAACATTAAATCAGATCAGATTAATTCACAAGCCTTGTTGAAATAGCCCCTTCCTATACAGCATGACCTTGCCTCAAATCGAGAATGCTAATACATCTTGGATTGGCTGTTTTTTCAGAATTTAAAATAGGTCAAAGATATCCTAATGGCTCAGTCAGGAGCAAATTAAGTTACTACAGAAAAAAGGATCCTGAATGAAAAGTGACTGTTGAGGAAAAAAATTTCTAAAGATGAAGACGTCTTCTGCTGATAAAACTGAGATCTGTAAAAGTGTGATAAGAGTATACAGTGGGAGAGGTAGGAAGTAATGTCATAAAACAAAATAGCAGTGAAAATAGGGGTCTGAGGTACAGTAGTTTCAGCTTATCTAAGAACAGTCAAGAATAATGCTTAAAAATTGACTTAGTGAGATGTCACATCCATTCCCACTTCTCACCATGGTTGCATGTTACCAGAGAACTCTCTACTTTTACAATAACATAAATATATATAATACATGAGGAAACTGTCTTACAAAAATTTCTTACTGTAGTAATACATTCAACAATGAATGAACACTTGGCGCAATGAGGATACTTACTGTTTAAAAGTACATTAAACCTAGCTCTTTCATCATATCTACCACATGCAACAATGAAGGAAAAAAAAAGATTCAAGATGACAGAGAACAGTGCTCTCTGCACAGTAAGTCTAAGTTATACTTCAAAATATTTGTTTTACTTCTGTTTTAGAAACAGTACAGATAGTAAGCTTAGCCAGATAAAAACATAATGTACATGTTACAACTTGTTTGGTTAGTTGTCTACAATATCTTAAAATATCTTATAATCTTAATACTAAAGTTTTAAGAGATTTAAAAAAGATAATTGGTTTCTCTAGATCAGTTCATAAAGTAAATTACATAATGCATATGCTTTAGTATAATTCAAATATGTACTTGCTTTGCTAATTAGAACCTGTTGATACTTTAAAAAATTTACACTGGATCAACATTTGGATTTCATTACAATCAATCCATTGTTAAATAATGAGGGAAGACACAAGGAAGGAGGAAGACAGAAGAAAAGGAAAGAGACGGAGGAAGGGAAAGTGAGAAAAAGGAAGAGGGAAGAAAGGAGGGAAGGAAATAAATATTAAATTATTCATCATAAAGTATGGTTTTCAGCAACATATCAGCAATTTTTGTAACTTCCTTCAAAGGTAAGAACTTTCAATAAACTCAGTCTGCTGGGTTTAAAAACCTTAAGTTCACCCTGCTTAATTAAGTTATACCTAGAACATCCAATGCCCTACTTCATCCCTCCCAGACACCTTTTTATCCCTCCCTCTCTCCCCTTCCTCTCTTCCTTTTCTCTCCCTCTCTCTTTTATACACACAGATATATACACAATGTTTTTTAATTCAATTACCAGTCTAAAATAAGGTAGTCTAAAAGGGGCACTGACTAGAGCACAATAAATGGTAGAAAGAATAAAAATAAACAGCAAGCTAAACAAGTCAAATTGTTTACTGACCACATTCCCCAAACCATTTTTGTTTCAGATAAACCAGCTGTGTCAGGTCTGAACAGGTGTAACTCCAAAATCTCATGGAGAGTTTACTTCTCTCAGCAATATTATGAGGGTGAGCAGGAGAAGGAAACAAGCCCAGTCTTAAAACAAAGCATACTAAGGGACATTTCTAGGTGTTTCAGAGGTTTTATATGTCATCGTCCACCTCTACAGACGACAGCTGAATAAAGAACCTCACTGGTTGTAAGTTTCCACAATGCACCTTCCAAATCCACAGGTAGGACTGAATATCATGCAGAGCCAGGTTGCACCTTAACCTTCACCTTAAGCTTTAGTTTAGATTGTAGAAACTCATATAAGCTTGTCAACATTTGGATCTGTACTAGTCTACTACAATAGAGTTCATGTGAATTGATATAAATTTTAGTTTCAACTCTTAAACTCTTCTATAGTTGATCTGATCTTCCATGCCATGTCAAAACAAACAAAAACCAAAGCAGGTTCATGAGGATCCTTACGAACAAAGTTCACCTGGGTAAGATCTAGGCTGAAGTGAATCCCAAAATCTAACCTACAATAGACTATACTTCAGGAATCCACAGGATCTTGATCAATTGAGGGGGGAGGATAGTCAAGTGTTAATTCATTTTGGAAATTTGCCAATCATGTTACTGAATAATGCATGTATCTGGAAAAGCACAAGTTACCACAGTTGTACTTTATCATTAAAGTGAAGATTTACACTAGAGTAAACCCAAACATGAAATCTATTTTTAATCAGACAATAAACAATAAATCTATAATTGTGTTCAGTGCAGAAAACTTTATCTTTTGCAACTATGTGATTCCCTGATAAATATTAAATCCATGAGGAAGAGCTGTACTGTACAAGTTTCTCTTTTAAAGATTGTGTAAAAGTAAACTTTAAGAAGCTAAAACAAACTAAAGAAAATTCCAAATCTGTGTTATCAAGTTTATGCTGATTATAAATGGCGATTTAGACCACCTGATTCATTAAGTCACAGGTGTCTATAATTGAATACAAGTCCTACTTCATTTCAATTTAGCAAAATATTACCAAATGATGTACCACAGGAAAGACATTATGACAATAAATCTCAAGCAAAATTTTACTCTCAAATGGAATACAATTTAAGCTGCAAATACCAGAACCAAGAAAAAGGAGAAACATATATTACACAGGAAGCCTCATAGCCCACCTTTCCTCTTGACTGGCATTCTTGAATCTTTTCACTGCCACAGGATTCAAGATCTCTTTTCAGGTCTCAACTTGATCCAGCTGGGTCGAGGCCAAGAGCCAGGTAACTGTTGCAAACCACTTCACTGTTTGAAATCCAGGCTGTCTTCTCTTTCAAAGAAAAAAAAAATGATGTATTTTTTCCACAAACTTTGACACTGCCCACAGAGGTTAGAGAAAAACAACTGCCGAGTACTTCAATGTTTATAAAATATTTATTCTGTTTAAAAAGAAAATTATTGTAAGAGAAGAAAACGTTATTAAATCTCCTCTTCAGGCATTAACGTTTTTGGAATTCAATGACTAACTCAATTAAGGCACAAACAAAATTTTCACAGCTGTCTCATTACTCAACACATGATCAAATTCCAAGATGAACTGATTGATGATAAAGACCCTCAATTCTTTAGAGAAAAATCTAAAACCTTCACACACACACACCCCAAAAAAATACTTTTAAAAACGTCTTTGACTCTAGTCTCTAAAAAGGTGGGTGAGTTTGAACAGTTTTCTGGGGCAGAACACAGACTGAAAGGCCCCTTTCTATTTACTGGATCAGAAGTTCCGGCTCTCACCCCCTCAGTAAGACAGGATCCAGCTTGCTGTCACTTTCATTTTTTTTCTTCTGTGCTCTCCAAGCCCCTCAGGCTTGATCCTTAATGCCCCTCTGATTCTGATCCTCCCATGTATTAACCGAGAGGATTGAAAAGAAGGAAAGCAATCCCTTGGCATGGAGACATTAAAGTGACAGTGCTACTCAATGGGCACTTGATGCAGGATGAGTTGGCGAAGATTTCTTCACACTGGAGTCATTCACATCATGCCATCTCTTCGCATCCAAGCAGCACCCTATCCGGCGAGGAAAAACACTGAGACTGTTCGAGACAAGTCAAACCTTCCCCCAAAGGTGTTTTCTGAGACGCTGTAGTAGTATTAGGCATGTGAGCATAAGCTGTGCAAACGGTTCGCGGTTTCCTAAATGAGAGAGTTCGGCTGCTTGGCTTCCACATCCACCCTTTCTCTCAGTCTCTCTCCAAACTACCCACCTTCCTTTTGTAGAAAAGGCAAGAAATCTCTCTGCTCCCGCGGGCCACCCCTGCCTACACCCCGTTCTTATACGGAAGAGCACAGAAATGTCCTGCGCCCTCCACGCGATGAAGTGTTTCCTCAGGCAGGAGAAACAGCAGCACTAGAAATTATATAACTCTTGAATTTGGCTTCTCTAAGACGTGGAGACTGAAGGGTCGGGGGTTGCTGGTCTGGGAGATACTGCTGGGCACTGAACGTGCACAAAAGGGTGCCAGGCCTTCTCACAGCGCCCACCACCCCGAAACACCGGCTGGCAAGGGGGTCTTCTCAGGGAGTGGGAGGGCAAATTTCTCTCCGGTCCCTTTCCAAGCGGGGTGAAAGGATGGAATATGAAGGGACTAAACACTGAGGAGGAGGAGGGTCTGACGGCTGTGAGGGGAGGAGGCTAGTCGGCGCTGCTCTAGCGGCCGGTTGGAAGCTCTGGGGAGGAGGTGCCGGAGAAGCCGCAGCCTTAACCTACGGGCCAGGCCAGAGGGGCGAGCACCCTCAAGGAGTGAGAGGGTGGCGGCAGCTCGGCCCCAGCTAACGGAGACACCCTGAGGAGAGGAAAACGCGCAGCAACACCGCTGCGCTCGAGCCGCCCCACGTTCCCCTCAGGCGGAGAGAAGCCAAGCTAACAAATAGCAAAGGAAGGGAATGCGGGGACGCTGGAGGGGCGGGTCCACGGGCGTCTGAACCGCCGGGAAGCCAGTGGGCGGTCCTAATTTCTGGACGCCGCGCCCAATCACAGCCTGGATGGAGGGCGCGGCTTTTGACTGGGTCGGGGCGGGCCGGGACTGCAGGCGAGAGGCGTGAGTCGGCACCACTTCCCGCCTCGGGAGTTCTGGGTTCCCGCCCCGGGAGTTCTGGGTTCCCGCCCACTGCTGGTCACGTGAGTCGCCAAAATGGCGGCGCTCGGGCGTGAGGCTGGGGCTGACCTGAGGGTTGCAGGTGTGGTGCCGGTGGGAGCTGGGGAAGAGCCCAAGGTAGGCGGAAGTCCAGGATGGTATGGGCGGTGATTTCTGCAGCTTCAGAGTGTTGGCGGACTCTTCTGAAATGATGCGAGTAAAAGGAATTTGAGGGTCTAAAGAGAACAGCTCCCAAGTCCATGCAGGGCGCAATTAGGTCCCCACTTGCTACGGAAAAAAAGCGGCGAGAAAGCTGGAGACCTAAAGTCTAGTCCTGATGGATGCAGCCCGTTTTCTCTTGCCTCCTGGCCTTTGCACTGGCCTTCTCAAGTTGAAATACCTCCCCGCACTTATCCCCTTCCCGGCACTTACCCCACGCCGCCAAATTCTCCTCTTTCGGATATTCCTTTAAATGCCACTTTACCTGGCTAAGTTTGGCTTTTCTTACGTTGCTTTGTTTTTAATGACAAAAATTCTGCATTTAAATTCCCTGCCATTTTCTCCGTATTTCTGCCTGGGTTGTGGGTTCTGGGACGTGACTACATCTTGCTTACCTGGGGGGGGGAGTGTCTGTCAAATACTACGTGAATGTTGAGTAAATGATGAGTGAATGTTGAATAAAATTCTGAAAGTCAGGTGAAATAATACACATAAAATCATAACAAAACCGTATAATACTTTGGAAACTATAAACCTATACAAATGCACTGATACTGGTATAACTGTGGTAACCAGTTGAGTGGCCTTGAACTTTTTGTTTGCTTTATTTTTTGAGTAAAAGTAGATTTATTCAGAAAGATACATATTCCATAGACAGAGTGCAGGTCACCTCAGAAGGCCAGGCAGACCACAAGGCATGGGGGTAGTTAAAGCAAAAGTAGGTTTACACACTCCATAGACAGAGTGCGGGCGACCTCAAAAGGCAAGAGAAAGGCCTGGTTAATTTTTAGATAAAATGTTGGTTATGGTGAAATAATTACATGTCAATACTTACAAAAATTCTATCAGAAAGTTATCAATATATTTCTTTGCTTTAATAACAGTGCCTTCTGAAAACGAGGTGCCCAATAAATACTTACTGTCCTCTTTCAGTATTTTAGGATCATAATCCTGGGTGTCTGTGTTTCCTAATGTACTAAGGATGTAGACAAGGTAGGAGGTTGGTACAAGGCATTGCCTGAAAGTTTTCTTTGTGAGAAATAAGACTTTAGTGAATTGGATGATAGCAAAACAAAAATTTATCCAAAGTTTCTGGTTAATTATCATGTTACTGACATCTGCCTTCATGTACATTAGATGGAGTAGTATATAGAATCTCCCTTAGATACTGCTATTTTCTCTTCCATTTGCTATTTAGATGTCAGAGAGAGGCAAAAAATTAAATCTAGTCCTTGAGAAACTGTAATTTGTAAATTTTTTTTTCTGTTCTCCCTAGATATTTTAAAGAAAAAGAACTGGCATGAGTACAGTTCTTCAATGATACAGGGAAAGAAACTGGTCAGTTATTACTCATTGTGTCATACCACACTAAGGTTCAAAAGAGCCTATACCTTCAGAATTTTGATACTGTGGATGAATTGGCCTTTCATTAGGGTTAGGACTGGTACATATCACTTATTCAGGAAATGAATATTACAGTGATACTCAACATGTGTCCGTTGACTACCAGCATCAGAATCACTCGGTGCTATTAAAATGAAGATTTCTAGACTTTACCCTACTTCTATTATCCAGATATCTCAGTAGGGATCTCAAAAAACTGCTTTTCAAGTAAACTCATGTGATTCTTGTCCACATGAAAGGTTGAGATTCTTACTAAGTCTCTTCTATATCTTTTATGCCTAATCCACTCGGATTCTTTGCCTAAGATTCCTAAAATTTGACATTTTTTAGTCTATGCCCTTGTCCATAAACGTTGTTAAAATGGAGATTCATATAAATTATGAAGGGCCATAGATTTTTTAAAATCTATTCATTGGCTAATCTGGAATCCCATAATGCCAGTAGGGAAAAAAAATTTAATAAATAGTAAGAATTCCACAGAAATCTGAGTCTTACCCAGCACAAAACATTCAGAAAGGATCCTAAGGATCCAGTTTTGTTTTGTTTTTGTCTTTACCATTGGTTTCTGTTAAGATGCTACTGGCCAAACCTCATGGTCCCTTGACATTGGCAACTGTCTATTCATACATCATACTTCAGACACAGGAACTTTCCAACCCTGGAGCCCACTGCTATGGTCCAGGCTTCCTTGTATACTACATAGCAATTTCCAGCAAAGGCCCTGCTTCTGCCCAAGTCGCTATTAGGGAGCTCAATACATAATTTATATAATCCACAGTAGTCATGATCCACTACCTCTTCCTAGCCTGGAACAGTGTCTCTCTTTCTGGTGCTCTCTCGCTATTCTCCAAGGCAATCCCCGTTCTCTCCTACCTCTCCAGGAACCTCAAGATAATCTCCAAAATGAGCTCAGGCTTTCACGAGACAGAGGATGAAGATAGGTGTCAACAAGTAGCTACTCTTTACTATCAGCTCTGAAAAAGCTAGAGCATGGTGAACTACAAAGGGCCTGGCTACCTTCAGAGAAAACTGTAAGGAAAACAAAAAATATCTCAGTAAGTTATTCTTCTACACCAGGTCCTAAGGCAAGTTAACCTCTCTGGACCTTGTTTTTCTCATCTATAAAAATAGAGGTGACCATTATCCTGCCAGTTTCTCAAAGTTATTGTGTGGATCAAAAAGCCATTGTGTAACAGGTAATAAGAGCTCACTAAATGTTGATTGAATCATTAACAAAATATATGAAAACACAGGACAGTACCTGACACTTTACTAGGGTCTAAATGTTTTTTAATCTGAATCTGTAGAATTTATAAGATTTAATATTAATATCATTAGCTATCATGATTCTGGATTTTTGTGTTTTCTAGGACATCAAGATGCCAACATACACACATGGTCAGTCCAGTCCTTCTCTAGGAGATGCAAAGCTCAGAAAACCAATGATCATCGAAATCATAGAAAAAAAGTTTGAATATCTTAGAAAAGAAAAGTAAGAGACACACTCTGACTGAAAGTCAATAACTATTTGCATATCTTCTGTATCACCAATGTTTCTGGGTATCTAAGATCTTATTAACTTTATTGAGTTGGTTATGAAGAAAGCTTATTTAAAAAAAACTGGAGAGAAACATGAGCAGATGAAAATAGTGGTTTGTTGCAATACTGAGACTGTATAATTTCTTTTGTCTCTTGAAGTTTTTTTGCTTCTAAAATTGTTGAAATGTTATTTATGCAATAAACATTTTAAAAGTAATTAACAACACCTTTTTGGGGGCTACTTATCTTTAACTGATTATCAATTTTAATTAAATTCAGTTTAGAATTTATTACCTTAGCCACAGTGCTGAGTTCAGCAGAAAGGAATACACATTCCATGATGTACAAATAGTCTCACATTACCATTTTGACTTTTAGAGTAATAGAGCTCAAGAATAAAGTCAAAGGATGTTGATCTTAGACTTTAAACATTTCTGGATTTAGGTATGAATCAGAATAAATAAAACTAGATCTTTTAAATTTCTTTGGATGAAGTTTTGGAAATCCTAGACAAATTATGTTAAATGTATCTGGACTAATTAAGAAATATTTTCTAGAAGGCTTAACCAAATGTAAACACCTTTTTTCAAATGACCTTAAGCAAGTTAATTCTTTTATTGGAAAGAGCAGTATTCTTGGATTTAGATAGCTCAGAAAATTTGGCTACATCAGAACATATTCATATTTATTTGTGGCCAAAATTTATTCTCTTTTTAAAAGAACTCCATCTTAGAGCCAGTCTAAATATTCTCAGAAAGAGAATTATATCCTTTCATTAGAATGCAAGTTCCATGAGGAGTGGAGGTTTTTTGTTTGTTTGGGTTTTTGTTTTGTTTTGTTTTTGCTTTATTCATTGCCCCATCTTCAGCACAAAGAAAATACTTCTCACATGGCAGATGCTCAAGAAACATTTGATACTGAGTAAATATGAACAAATGACTACCCAGGAAAGGATATACCTATTAGGAGAATATTATGTTGAACTTAACTTTTCACTTTGATTTTCTAATTAGGTCTTTAAATATATATGGAACAGTGGTCTTTGGAACAACAGCTGGTTTCTCTGGAATAGTGGCAAACATAATTTTCAGACATTGCTTCAAGGTTAAACATGATGCTTTGAAGACATATGCATCATTGGCTACACTTCCATTTTTGTCTACCATAGTTGCTTATAAGCTTCTTGTAACAGATTCTTTGTATTCAGGTAAATTCAAATTCATTGATGTATATATAATGTGTCTATATCTAAGGAAAATTATTCATTAACATATACTGTTGCTACTGCTGATAATAATCCCTTACATTTGTATATTGCTTTACCACTGACAGTGGACCTTCACATGTATTGTCCTACTTCATCCTCACAACAATCCTCCTAATCAGTCAGGGCAAGTAGTACTGTCCTTTTTTTACAGGGAGGAAACCAACCTGAGACATCTTCAAGTACAATAAAAAGCAACATAACATACTGGGGAAAAAAGGCTTTGGCATACTACCTATTTCACTTAAGTTTTTGACATTAGGCAAGTCATTTAATCTCTGAGACTCAGTTGTCTCATCTATGAATTAGGACTAATAGTACTTATCTCACAGGATTGTTGTAAGAATTAAGATACTGTATGTTAAATGCCTAACCTACTTTCTGGCATATTATGGGCTTCTAATGTTACGTCTTGCCTCTTCCCCATACCTTAAGTTTCACAAAGAGTAACTGATGGAACCTCTGACCCCCGTTGTTCAGGTCTCTGCTTAAATACTCTTCTGCAGGGAAACTTCTGATTCCCTTGGGGTAGTTAAGTTTCTAGATACATTCTCTATTCATTTTTACCTCGGAACATGTGCACACTTAAGATTATTTGTTTAAATATTTGTTTAATGTCTTTCTTTCTTAGTAGACTGGCCTGAAGTTCAGAGATTGGATCTCTTTTGTGTAACATTGTATCCCTAGCACACACCTGACACAGAAACAATATAAATGTATTAACCTAGAATCCAGATATCTGGTCTGCTATATCTTAGTTCAGGAAATGAACACAGTCTGATGGAAATAGTCTTCACTATAAAACTGCTTCCACAACAACCAATAAGTGAGAGTAACTATCCTTACGTAAAGTATAAAAGCAGTTTTTAAAAGTAGTACATTTAGTCTATTGTGCTGTAGACTGAATTTCTAATATTCTTTCTACTGTTTCGCTCTGGTTGAGGACAGTACGGATAACTACTGTATGAGGATACGAGACTCTTAAGGGTTCTTATCCTGAGTTGTAAAGAGAAACCAGATTTACCTATGTTTTCCAGGTAAGATCAGCCAGGAAAATTGTGTCCTGAGAAGTTCGCTGATTGGCATAGTGTGTGGTGTTTTATATCCCACTGCTTTGGCTTTTTCTAAAAATGGACGTCTGGCAGTCAAGTAAGTCCATCTTTTTGCTCCTTTTCTTCCTTCTTTTTTTGTTTTTTGTGCTAAAAAACTAAATATTCCTTAGCTGCCAATGACACATTTTAATCAAAATGTAGTAGTTCATATTTCAAATAGCTAATTTTAACCTTTTTGCTATCAACATGAGAGATCTGGAATAGAAATTATCAGTTTAGGAGGAATCAACAAATTTTTCTTGGAATTTACATCCAAAAAAGTACTTAACTATCCTTCTTTTTTAGGTATCATACTGTTCCACTGCCACCAAAAGGAAGGGTTTTACTTTATTGGCTGCTGCTATGTCAAACAGAGATAAAAGCAATGGTGCTTCCTCTTGTCCTTCAGACAGCCTGTGGAATATATCACGGTCTACAGCATTATGCAATGTTTGAAAGTACTCTTGAGAAAAGTATATATGAAGATTAACCAAAAAATGAATGGATACTAAATCAGCAGAATGGATTTTTCTATGATGAGGACTCAGGCATTGCTGCATGAATTAAAAGTAATTCTGGACAGACAGTTCAACTATTTCTTTTCCTTTTGCCTGGTATATAGCAGGTGCTCAATAAATTTCAGTAAATAAATAAATGCAAGTTTCATCTCTGTTTCCTCATTTATGTGGAAATGAGTTTGAGGCCTCAAGATCTGATCAATATATACATTTATATATTCATTCATTCACAGACATTTATTGAGCACTTGCTAGGTCTCAAGACATTGTGTTACATGTAATAAGAAATGGTCCTTACCCAGAAGGAATGCACAGTTAGAAATGTGAGCACATATGAGAGGATTTGAGAGGTACACACATAATTCTGTGAGCAAACTGAGGATGTGGCTGTTAACTACTTGTGCAGAGGGGAAAGCTATGGGGAAAAAATATGTTCCTAAATTTTGAAAGGGAAGTTGAAAGTTCATAAGAAAATCAAAATAAAGAAATAAACTAACAGCCCATTCCTCTACTCTAATTCAGTATACTTACTAGCTCTTACCATTAACAGATTAGCTTCACTCTTCTGTTTAAAGAATATTTATTGAGTGCCTATTTGCTATGCATTAATATAGGCACCAGGGAAACAAAGGTTCAGTCCCTGTCCACAGGAAGCTTAAAATCTAAAGAAACAGATCACAGTATGCTTCTCTAAGTCTGCTACACCATTCCAAGCTACACATTTAGTTAGGGAATCTTACTTCAGGAAACACAGTCTGATGAAAAGGGTAAGACACAGAATGGAACCCCATAGCTCATTCTCCTTGTCTTAAACCATATTTATCTTGCGATTAAAGTTTGGTCATCTGAGGCCCCAAGCAACCCAAAGCAGAAGTAGAAATTTAGAAACATAGCAAAGAAAATTCACAAGATATCTTTCATTTGAGTAAATACATACCCAATTATTCAGCTAATATTGATTCAAGACCTAGTGCATGAGACATTATATACTACATATGGGGCAATTTACCTTACCTTTCTGACTTTATTTCCTCTTAAAACATACTAATAACTGCTTTGGAGTCATATTATAAAGATGGAAACATAACCAACCCATACCTGGTGTATAGGAGGTGCTAATAAATGTGCTTTTTTGTTTGTTTTCCCTGATGTTCTCCCTGAGTCACAGAACAATGACTAAGATTGGTCCCTACTGTAAGAACTTACCTGCTCTCTTGGCTTTTCAACTCCATTTCCTCCAACTCCCTTAACCATGTGGTTATCCCCCTGCTTTTGTATTTATTGCATCACATTGTATCGTTTACTATGTATTGTATTATATTGATTTTCTTCCTGTTTTTGCACGATTACATTGTCTTCTGTAAAGTATTCAGTATTTGAATTTCTAAGTTTAAGCAGCAATCTAATAATGAATAAATGGTATTCTACAGATGTGGCTGCATTTCACAGAACTTGTTCACTCACCTTCCTAAGTAAGCCTCATTTAAAAAAAAAAAAGACTCTTCCAAAGATATATAACGCATATTCTCCTACCTTCATCTTCTTATCCCCACAAAGACAGTCATACCAACATTGATAAGCATGAATAACTGAATCTTGGCAACTGAATCCCACCAGATTCGCTAAAGTAATAAGACCCCCCTCCAAAGCCTCCCCAAGATTAGACGCAACAGAAAAACAGAGTAGTGAACTTAAAGATAAAGCAGTATGAACTTCAAAATAAAGCAAAAAAAATTAACGTAGTATTAGTGACTAGCCTTTTACACGTATAATTCAAGTCATCTAAGGAGGGGATAAGCAGAAAAAATTTTTGATGTATTAATGGCTGAAAATTTTCCAAATTTGATGAAATCTATAAAACCACAGATTCAAAAATTTCCAGTCCAAGGTCATGACATAGGAGGCTCCTAAACTCATCTCCTCCCACAGACATCATATACAGCTGCACACAGAGCAATCCCCTCTGGAAAAAAAAAGCCAGAAACTAGCTGAGCAACTCCTACACATCAGGCAAACAAGAAAATACCCACACCAAAAGAGGCTGAGAAACACGCTCGCCATAAACTCCACTCCCAACACAGCGACATATGTTCAGCAGGAAACGAAACTCCCAGCTTCCCCCGCCCCGAGGAGGGAAGGGTTTGGACCCAACACCTAGTGCCCCAACATTTGACTTCCACCTAAGGGGTGGGCCCCCAAAACACCTAGCTCTGAAAACCAACTTTTCCGTCCATGAGACCCCTCTGTTAACAGGTAGGAGCACTGGCTGTAGCTATCCCCAGGGCTCAGTGGAGAGGAAGCAGGCAAAAAATGCCCATCTCCCAGTTTTCTGGGCTTATTTGTGTACACTTTAAGAGATGCTGCCTGAAGGTCAGCATTCTAATTTAACATGCATCTAGGAGCCAACTTCAATCCTTCCCAGAGCACAAGGAGGATAGCAGGCACCTCCCACCTTTTCTCTTGAGGTTGCTACAAGTCACCAGTATCTTCCAGGAAGGAATTAATAGACATCTGTGCCCAGCTTTTGCAACTGCTACCCACAGGGTAGGCCCCCAGATCTCCTGACTGATAGGTAACCGATGGGCTTCCATTCACTAGTTCCAAAGGACTCAAGGAGGGAACAAAAGCAATTCCTAAAATGGCTATGCCCCCAGGGCTCAGTGCAGAGTTAGCAGCCACAAACACCCAACTCCCAGCCTTTCCCTAAAAAGGGTCTATTTGCATGCTTTAAAAGATGCTGCCTGAGGTCACGTTTCTAATTTAGCAAGCATCTAGAGACTAACTGTAATCTTCCCCAAAGACCAGTGAAGACTGCAGACACCCACCCTCTTCTTTCGACCTGCTCCAAGTCAGTATCTCTCTGGAAGGACCCTGTACACACATCTAGCACGTCAGCTTTAGCGGCTGCCCCCTGAGAGAGGGGTGCCCAGATTAGGAACAATAGCCAATGAGGTTTGCATTCAGTAGTCCCACAGAATTGTAGTAAACAAATAAGTTTTTAAGGGGCTCAAGAGCACTCCACCCACCTTTGCTATATAGCCCAACCCCATGCAGAGAGAATACAGAAAAACTCTGAACTGCTACTGGGGCTGGGATGGAGAAATAAAGAGAGGTTTGTAAAAGGGTCCAAACTTTCAGCTCTAAGATTAGCAGTGTGAGGATATAATGTAAAACATAGTGACTATAGTTGATAACATTTTATTGTATAACTGAAATTTGCTAAGAGAGTAAAACTTAAATGTTCTCCCACACAAAAAGATACAAATGTGAAGTGATGGATGTGTTAATGAAATAGATGGGGGAATTCTTTCACAATGTATATGTATATCAAATCACTGTGATGTACCCTCTACATATCTTACAATTGTATATTAACTATGCCTCAAAAAAGGGTGTAAAATTTTAAAACCCCAGGTTTAAGAAGATCAATGAACTCCAAGTAAACTAAATATGAGAAAAACTACTTCGACTCCACATCATAATCAAATTGCTTAAAACCAGTAATAAAGAGAAAATCTTAACAGGAGTCAGAGAAACACTTAGAGAAATAATGACAGCATACTTCTCACTGGTAATAACGCAGAGCAGAGTCTTTAAATACTAATTATTTTTGAAAAAGTCAACCCAGAATTCTATACCTAGCAGAAACATTTTTCCAAAACAAGGGCTAAACAGGGAGGGTGACATCAGCAAGATGGCAGAATAGGAAGCCACAGATCCTCCTTCTCCCATAGACACAAAGATCTAACAACAATATACAGAGATTCAGAAACCACTCGAAAGGGTCCTGCACTACAGGTGAGCACTAAGCCAACGGCCTCAAAGTTGGCAGGAAAATTCATAGCATTTTCTGTTGCCAGAACCCCCGCTCCCAGCACAGTGTGGCACTATTAGAAGGAAAACCCCAATTCCCATATTCTCTCTGGTGAAAGAAAGGAGTAGAACCTACATCCATCATTCTGACTTTTAAGAGGGCTGCCTGGGACCATTTTCTGTCTTACTTGAATCCAAGTACTGACAGGAACAGAGAGGCCAGGTTAAGGATGTCTATGAATAAAACCATCAGTGTACACCAGAGTCTTCATTACCACAAGGACACTAGGTAGAGCTCCAATACTACAGCTTACCACAGCACCAAAGAGGTCATAGTATCAAGGAGACACACCAGCAGGAGCTCTGAAGAAGAAACTGGCAAACCTCTTCAAGCACAGAGAGGATGCAACCCTAGAAAAGATTTGAGTGGTCTCCAGAATCTCTAGTCAGGCTGAGTGGAGAATTTTTCCCTATACAAAACCAGATTGAAAAATCTGGGGATGATGGCTGATTCTTCAAATGCTGCAATCCCAACAAAAAATAATAAGCCATAGAAAGAAACAAGAAAAACAGCACATTTAAAGGAACAAATTAAATCTCCAGCAACTAACCTTAAGGAAACAGAAATATATTAATTACTAGAAAAATTCAAAATTATTGTTATAAGGATACCCCATGAATTAAAAGAGAACAAAGACAGACAACCATATAAAATCAGGAAAATATCAACAAAGAGATGAAAACTATGAAGACAAACCAAACAGAAATTCTAGAACTTAAGAATACAATACCTGATTGAAAAATTCACTGAAGGGACTCAACAGCAGTATTAAACAGTCAAAAGAATCAATGAACTTGAAGACAGTATTTTCAAAATTACTGTTGCAGAAGAGCAAAAAGAATAAAGAATGAAGAACAAAGAAGAGAGCATAAGGCACTTTTGAGCCATCATCAGAGGGAACCATGTATGCATTATGTGAGTCTCAGCAGAAGAAACAATCTATTTGAAGAAATAATGGTGAAAATCATCCCAAATCTGAGGAGAGAAATGGACGTACAAATTTAAGAAACTCAAGGAACTCCAATCAGAAAAACAAAATTTAAAGGGATCTACAATGAGAGATACTGCTGAAAGAGGTAATCTAGAAGGCATGACCACTGGTTGACCTGCAAGCTGGACCCAAGCAAACAGAGGCTTCTCAGCCCCTCTGCTGTCCTGAGAATGTCCGTTCTGCACACCATTTCCATGGTGGGAACCATTTTCAAGGACATAGCCTTGAGAGAGCAATGTGTTGTTGAGACCATCCAGACAGTATACATGACTGAACCCAGTTAAGGCCTTACTATAAACTTTTTAAATTCTGGCAGTGGGTGGTGTGGAGAGCTACCCATCTTGTGCCTTCCCAAAACAAGCCTTGTATTTAAATTCTCTTGCTTATTAAAAATGCCACCTACCAATCTGAAGTGGTCCATTTCTTTGTTCAGTCTCTTCTTGCTCTCTGTGTGTAGGGACCAATTTACAAACCAAAAGCCATTATACTCAAACTGTCAAGGCACAGGCAAACAATCTTGAAAGCAGCAAAGGAAAAGCAACTTGTTAAGTACAAAGGAGCTACTATTGTCATAGAAAAGAACAAATCTGACTCTATATTAGATCTGTTCCTTTAGCTTTAACCACTGTGCCCTGTTTTCTAGGCTTAGTCTTGCTAGCTCTGCACACACGTAAACATAACAAGCTGCAGAATAGAGAATTACCTTTGTTTTGTTGGAGGTTTTGCAGGAGCACCATGACCTGGCCCACGTGGACAGCTGCAGGAACAAAGAATTCCTACATCAAGAAATTTGCAACAAACAAACACACCCCTTTTCCTATTTTTTTGTATAAAAAGAGCCTGTATTCTGACTGGAGTAGGATGGTTCTCCAAGACATTAGCCTGCCATCCTCTCCGTCTGCCAGCTTTTTGAATAAAGTCGATATTCCTTGTCCTAACACCTCGTCCCCGGATTTCTTAGCCTGTCCTGCAGCCAGCAGAAGGAGTTTCGACTCGTTAACACTATTAGATTGTCAGCAGATTTCTCAGTGGAAACTTTGTAGGCTGGAAGGGAGTAGGACAATATATTTAAAGTACTGAAAGAAAACAAGCCAATCAAGAATACTATACCTTGGAAAACTTCAAAAAGAGAGGAACCCAGAGAAAGGGGCATGCGCGGAAG